TAAAATAAAATAAAAAGGAAAAAAGTATACTGAAGTGTTGGATTTATGAAAAAAGAATTTTACTTACATAGATACTGTAATGATTGAGTCCAGGTTGACATGAAAACTTGTCCGAGGCGTTGTACTTATCCGTAGCGAGAATCTCACAAATATGTCTTCCATGAATATCAGCATTGATGGCGAAATTAAACGAGAAACCGATAGAAGAGTTAGCGCAGATGAACGCACACTCCCCTGCCCTTCTTACAAAGCTGTTAAAGGCCACAGATACATCAAGGTACGAATTCTCGTGTTTTACAAACCTAGCGTAGCCAAACTTATTGACTGTATCTCGACGAAGACTTCCTTTTCGAGCAAGGATTTCATTTTTGAGTGCTTTAGAGAAACGAATAAGCAAAACAAAAACAAAAAGAGAGACCAAAAACCTCATTATCTTCTCGGACGTGGAATTCATATCTGGTTTGACTATTAAATGTGTCGATTCAGAAGCCTGTATTTATTCAGAATGTCATCATTGTTTTCACAACTGTGATTCAAAAGAAATCACAGCCAGACTACACTACCAAAAACCCTGCTGAGTCATTTTTTGTATACTTATACCGGTATAGCTAAACAGGGCAAACAGGGTAATCACAGTTTTGATTTCTCAACTTTTTTCTGGCAAGGAATTATTTGGCATCCTATATGATTAGTGCTGATATTTTTTTCAAGTTAAGTTTTTCTGTTGGCTCAAAAGTTTTTCATACTTAGACGAGTGCTTGAATACACTTGAATTTGAAGGTTGTGACATAGTATTTAGATAAAAGCGCCAGTTACATCACATATAAATGCATACAATTGTCTCCCCATGAATGTTCACTGAGTTATAATATAGACTTTTCTCACTCCATTGGGGGGATTTTTTTGTCGTAACCGACTTTGTGGATTGATTGTGACGTAACTAGACGCAACGGTTTCCACGCGCGCGTTGCAACATCAAGCGGTGCAGCTTTGGAATATCAATAAATCGTTTAAACCCATCCAACGCTCTCCTACATTACTCAACCGGGCTTGGACAACTTTGTCGAAATTAACTGAGCCAGAACAAAATGAAATGGAGTCGACATTTTACTAGTATAGCAAAACAAACAGCAATTATTTCTTAGTCCCGAAGTTGGACACTGAAGAACTTACTGTTGGACGCACTGTCATATCGCAAAATATTTATCGCTATTTACAGTAATGATTAATTTATCATTCAAAAACGCCTCCAACTTGATTCGCAATATTCGTCATATCGCAAAATATTTATCGCTATTTACAGTAATGATTAATTCATCATTCAAAAACGTCTCCAACTTGATTCGCAATGTTTTTCTATTTTATACACATTTTATTCCCTTGAGTATTATTTTTTTACTGATCGCGTGACAAAATACATTACAGCCAATTTCCCACCATAGGAAGTCAAAGAGACATGAATTTTAAAGTAATTTGTGCGGAGAATCAATCAAAAATGCGATTTTTAAGGTTTTCGAATTAGAAATGGAAAATAAAATAGAAAAAGGATGAAAACTGAAAATGAATGACGTTTGAAATGGGAAATTTGGTTGAGGAGTACCCAGTCTCACTCGATTACTTATGAGATCCCATCATGCATCTGTTCAGAACCAGTTTCAGCAGATGCAAAAGAAGATGATGTTGTCAAATGTTGGTTCAAAAAACTCCCTAAAAAGCATATTTCCTTCCTTGACAGCTAATTTTGCCTGCATGAACAGATAGAATAAGTATTTATCTTGGTGTAAGAGCTTGTAATGGGTGATAATCAAGATCTAAGGCTGGCTAGAATCGATCATGTTGAATTGTTGTCATCTCAGTCTGGTTCACTGTATCAGTCGAGAGAATTCACTGATGTCACCTTCGTAGTTGAAAAACAAAGATTCAAAGCGCATAGGATCATCCTAGCAGCAAGGAGTGATTATTTCAGAGCCTTGCTGTTCGGAGGAATGAGAGAAACCAATCCAGCGAATGAGATAGAGATTACAGACTCTTCATCAAGTGCTTTTGACGCGTTACTCAAGTATATTTACACTGGGAAGATATTTTTAGGTGAATATTGCCCTGAAATTGTGCTGGAGCTGTTAAGTTTAGCTCATAAATATGGATTCTTGGCCTTAGAGAGTGCAATTCAAGGATATCTTAAGGCTATTCTCGATATTAAGAATGTTTGCCAGATTTTCGATTTGTCGTCGTTTTTCCAACTCCAAGACTTGTTTGCTTCTTGTCTCGATTTTATGGACCAAAATGCATCTGAAGTGCTATCTACAGATTCATTTTCAATGTTATCGAAGAATTCTTTGATTGAAATAATTAAAAGAGACTCATTTTGTGCTGCAGAAGTTCAAATATTTCGCTCAGTGGCTGATTGGATAAATGCAAATAATGAGGTAACAGAGAAAGATATAAAGGAAGTTTTGGGCCAAGTACGATTGACTCTTATAAGCCTCAATGAACTGTTTCATACTGTTAGATCTACAAGGTTCTTTGATGCAGATGCAATCCTTGATGCAATCAAAGTTAAAACTGAAAGCCAAGTTAGTGAAATGAACTTCCGTGGACACCTAGGTGAGAGCACAAATCTTAGGTTTAGTGGTTGTTAAAGTGGAGTAAAGTACATATGATTATGCAGTTGATATACAATCATGATGGTGCAATATCCAAGCAATTTGGATTTGATTGACCAACAAGATATTAGTTTCCTACCATGTCATTGTGTCATGCCGTTGCATAGTCATATGGAATGTACTCTATAGGGCTAGTTGCTGTGACGTAAGCTATTGTAAACACCAACTTGCCCCACATGTATGAATTAGATCTACTGCAGAGCATTAATGAGGTGAACAGGAATGTTATATCCTTATTATTCAGAAGTCAATCAGAATGTTTGTCATAAGGCTCAAAAAAGTGAACTGCCAATGGCCGAAATACAGGTCAAATATTACCAATGACAGATAACAATAGCTTTGAAGTGTTAAAGGGAAAATGAAAAAGCAAGCAAACTTTTACCAAGTTTTTCTCTCTTGGTCCTCTCTCCTTTTCCTCTTATGAGCCCTGCTAGGGTCTGTAATGGTGCACTAGTTGGTTAAAACTGATTTTATGTAGCAGTCATTCCTTGCTTCTTATTAAATAGTAATAAAATAAAGTTGATTTTTGCAGAGAGAGTGAGACATTAGTTATCAGATGCAGTTATCCATTTTCCTAAGCATTTTTCTATACTTTCCCAAACTCATGTATCCATGTTGCTAAATCTGTCTACTATTTTTTATTTTTTAAAAGTTCGTGATGAGAATATTCCTATTTCCTTGTGTGGCTCTGAAGTGATGGAATGTGAAAAACAACTCCTAGAAACAGATACAGTCAACTACGAACTTGACCGTGGGTTCTCTCGGCATCTGATAGCTGAAGGTGACAAGGGTATATGTATTGCACTCAGCCGACCTAGTATTATTAACACCATCAGAATGCTTCTGTGGGATAAAGACTTGAGGTCATATTCATATTGTATTGAGGTATCTATGGATAATCAAGACTGGGTAAAAATTATTGACTACTCCAAGTTTCTGTGCCGATCTTGGCAGACACTCCATTTTAATCCAAGAGTTGTCAGGTAGGGCAGCATTCTTATTGGTATGGCGATACCTTTCAGCTAGTTTCCAAAACTTTCTCCAAAATTGTCCCAAAATGTTCTTCCTAATATTTACTGTGAAGCAAACTGCTACAGCAATACCATTAATTAAATGGACTGTCAGTTGGTTGTACAGTCCCAAACATTTCCCCCCGTACTTACTGTAAAACAAACCTTTCTTTGGCTGAAATCCTTTGTTAAGCAGACACCAGCCAAGGTCCTGAAAATTCATTTAGTTTATATTAGTTTTCATCATTTAGTTTTTTTCAATAGTCACAGAAAGATTAAGATGGCCATCAAATAGCTACTATTCTTTTTTCTTGTAGATATATCAGGGTTAAAGGAACCTACTGCAGTGTAAATAAAGTATTTCACTTGGTTCATTTTGAGTGTCTGTACTCAACAAAGCCATTCAAAATCACCAAAGATGCTGTTATTGGTAAGTTATTGTATCACAAGTACAGTACAAATATTCCTTGACTAAATATCCTTCAGTTTGAATGGAAGAATGAATGAGGTTTTAAAAGGAATTCATTCATGATTAGAATACTTTTCAAGCTTCTAAAAACAATTGTTTTTTTTTTTAAATGTGTACTCTATGATAAGTAATGTTTACGGATTCTTGGTAAGCACCAGTATGCCTCACAATGATGCAACAAAAAATAAATTCGCTAACACATTCTTTGTGTTTCATGCATTGAAAGGGAGCTTTCTGTATATCTGTATATGGAACAATTTATTCAGATTTATTCAAAATATTCTTCACTCATATTATATACAATAAATGATATATATTGCATATCAGTACCCCAAGAGAACATGGCTGTGCCGTCGGCCAGTGCCAGTGTCATCGAAGGCGTGAGTAGGAGTTGGAATGCCCTGCTCAATGGAGAAATCAAGAGCTATGATTGGAACTCTGGGTACACTTGTCATCAAATTGGCAGTGGTTCTATCGTAGTGCAACTAGCGCAGCCATTCTTTATTAGTACTATGAGGTAGGGAAACAGAGATGATGCTTTATATTTTATTCATAAATACTTGTTAAATACTGTCAAAAACTTTATCACTCACAGCCCCATTAAAAAACTCCTTGGAGACATGGCCTCCCTGTTTAAATATAATAATAATAATAAATAGAATAAATGAATGAATGGATCAAAAAATACTGTAAATTTTCAAACTATAGCATTCCCTTTAGTATGATTTTGTGTCTCCTAGTAACACTAATAACAAAAATATGAATCCCTATCCGAAATATAAATACCATCTTTAATGTTTTTGTCTCACTCACTGTAGGTTACTGTTGTGGGATTGTGATAATCGCAGTTATCGTTACTACATTGAAGTATCCAATGACCGCCAAAAATGGAATAGAATTGTGGATAAAACTAATGAAGATTGCAGGTATCTATTAATTGTTTTGGATYGATAAATAATTGTATAATTACATCAAATTATTCACCAATATATGTGTAAAAAAGAAGTTAAATGTTTCTGTTGTACAGGGCGTGGCAGTACCTTACTTTTGATCCTCAAACTGTAACCTTTATACGTATTGTCGGGACCCAAAATACCATCAATGAGGTGAGTTATTGTTGTTAGGATACCATGGAAAAGGGCAGTAGACATTCGTACGTTCAACATATAAATAAAAGGTTTCTTCCTGTTCTGCAGGTTTTTCACTGTGTCCATTTTGAGTGTCCAGCAAGTGAAACTGAACCAGAACCATGCATCAGTATAAATACCATGCTGCCAGACAACCTATGATGTCATGGCAACTAGACAACCTGTGTTGTCATGACAACCAGACAACCTGTGATGATGTCATGGCAACCAGACAACCTATGATGTCATGGCAACCACACCAGCATCAGCCAATGAGACTAAGCTTGTATAATCATCTATAAATAACCATAAAACAAGCATAATTTAAGTCTTTAATTTAAGTATTAATTTATTAGCTGACAGCAAATAATGAAAAAACTTCTCTGTGTGTACAAAATTATTTTATTGTCCATGAATAAAAGTGTTGCAATCTAGTTACGATACCATGCGATATGATAACAAAGACGTCTTCGGCGAGTAAGCTATTTCTATCCTTGTTGATTGTTAAAGTGCACATGAACCCTTCGACAATACTTTCAGTACTGATTCTGCATAAAGTAAATAGTTGATTGGTAAAATATTGATTTGAGTGATGCGTCTTTAAGTTATGAAGGTTTATACTTCCAATATGTTAATGATGATGACGTCAGGTAAGGTATTTGAGTGTTTTTGTTGTAACTAGTAATACTAAATGCTGGCCATTTTGAAAATAAAAATTGTAAATAGCTTTCATGTAAACCATGAGTAAAATAATGATGCTTTTTAAATACTGTTTCTATGAACCAGTTCGATTTTGTATATTTGATTAAGCCTTAATAGACGTCACATCATTAGCATATTGAAAGTATAAACCTTCATAACTTAGAGACGCATCACTCAAATCAAGAAATATTTTACCATTCAACTATTTACTTCGTGTAGAATCAGTACTGAAAGTATTGTCGAAGGGTTCATGTGCACTTTAATTTGCCAAAGGAGCAATTATATTTTGCTATTTCTAGTAAAGTGTGTGGATATTACTTTTGAATTTTGATTACGTTCCACTCCGTGTTATGAAAAGTGCTAGTGCTTGCCTGATTAAAAAAGTTGACAAAGCTGTTTAGTTGGTTTGTTTGCTGGGCTCTGTTGTAAAGAGCGAGTACTAGGAGTCGACAAACCCGTCTTGTGAAATGGTCCTGCTTAAGACGGGTCCAAGACTTAGAATATACTTATAGGAGGTATTTGAAAACAACTTGCCAAACGCTAGGATACAAGAGAACGAAAGGTAAGATGTTAGACCGTAAAATTTTTGACTCAAATTTGTACACAACAGCACTGTGAACTGAACTGAACTTAAGGCTTGTTTTCTTGTTCTCGCAAGAAACTTTAAAGAAAAGTAGGACTAATTTCCCCTTGTGCAACTGAAAGTCGGTACTGTGAGAACGACGAAAGCCGAGCCGTTCGACATTACATTTATAGAAGATTTACGTTCAAGGCAAACGTGAAACGTCTGTTGACTATCAAAAGATTATTTTGAGTTACTGAAAAGGAATCGCAAAAAAAAATCCAAATAATAGAAAAGCGAAAGAATATGTGTGAAATTTTGTAATAACTAAAATTAGAATACAGGAAAACGATGAAAACGTGGTCATATTTGCCGTTTGCAGGAAGAGAAAAGAAAATCTAACACTCTATACCGTCCAGCATCAACGTGCTACAAACTTTCTAGCTAAACTATTTAATGTTAGTTCAAGCATATTATGAATGTGTTAAATGCGTAGGGCTTTCAAACCGTCTGCTTTCTACCCAGAGTCACTGATAGTCTAGTGCAATATATGATTTTAATGTGTACTGAGTTATCCTATATAAACCAAAATACGAGTAGAATTGTGAAACGGCTATCTTGAAGCGCCTTTTAGCCCAACGCATAAACGAATGCGAATCTGAGTTGAGTCGTCTCAACCGGGTCAGAGACCTTTACTCGTTTGCTTCTTAATTGTATCATCACTCTATAATCCCTTATAAGCAACATTTGTATTATTTTCAAATTCTCTTTCCTGTCCAAATTAAAGATCAATTTGGATCGTTTCCATTCGCATTCTTTCGAGGGAGAACTATGTCTTATGGAATCAGTCTAGTATAGTTTGGGATGATATAATCAATCGAGGGGTATTTGTCTGCAATCGTCTCCGTGTACAGTGCTGCCACATTTTGGTTCACTTCTTCGGCACTCCTCCTATTCACATAAAGGAAAAAGAAATCGTGATTAGAATGAAAAACTCTTACGAGATATGGAATTCTTGCTTCAAAGTTATGTCTAAAAGATTGTAGGGAACTCCGAAGGCGGGAGGGATCCGCTAAGCCTARCTTCCCCCTCCCCTCCCCCTTCAGCCCTGTTTTCTGCCAAATATGAGTTGCCTAATTCTTTGACATGAGTTTTATGCAAAAAAATTGCCAATTGCCCCTCGAGACTCGGTATGCTACGCAGAGCGCGTAAGGTCATTCCGCGGGAGTCGTGCATAACCCTGTACAACACCATTATACTTCAATATTTGACTATCGTGCTACTACAGTGGGACTCCTGTGGCAAGACCGATCGTGATTACTTAGATAAACTACATAGGTGCGCCGCCAGTATTATTGAGTCTCTCAGCCACAGGTTGCGCGGTAGTTATTGGGCCTTCACTCCTGTCCCGCCGGGACTACCTGAAATGCATGTTAGTGTTTAAATGTTAACATAACCTGGCTCCACCTTATTTACTTAATGATTTCTGCCACTCGCGCAATTTCCACGCATATAATACGCGCCATAGAGATCTGCTCCGTCCGCCTTTTGCGAAAACATCCAAGCTCCTTCAGGTTCAGCGGTACAAAGATCTGGAACAACCTTCCGCTGGACCTGAGGAGGGTGCACGATTTAACAAGATTCAAGTCTGGCCTTAAAAAGCATTTTAGATCTCGCTAAGATTAACCCTGTGCGCCATCAAATACTTCATGTTAAGTGTTTTATTCAGTTAGTGCTTTGTAACGTTTTTAATTTTTGTATTTTGTACTATATTTTTGGTCTGTCAGTTTAATTTAAACAGAGCTCCATTCAAACCAGCTTTGATGAACTGGACACCTGTGTATAGATATTGTTGATAAATAAATTTAAAAAAAACACACTGGTAATTGCAATTTTCGACCGGCTGTCTAAATTGGACATTAGGGGGATCCCCAGATTAACGACCCCACCCAGACTCCCACTCTAAACTATGTTCCGGGGTTCTTGTTTGTAGGTCGTAGTCGTATCTGCTACACTACATATTTAATTTAGAGGATTCAGTTTATCTTTGGTTTCGCGCAAGCGTTTGTATGGGTACAACCCCTCCCCTCGTGCCAAGAGTGAGGAAAAGAGTAATAGACTTACCTATAATCGAAGTCTCACAATTTGTTCCAAAGAAGCCAGGTTGACAGGTACAGCTATAACCATCCATGAGATCATTACAAGCGCCATAGTTCTGGCATGGTTTGCTAAGACACTCATTGATATCTGTTATGAAGATAAGTACAACATGAAGTAATTGGTTTTTTTCTCAGTGGCCTCTACCATTCCTCCCCCTCCATGTCTCTCCACCTCCTTCCCTTACTTCCTCCCCTCCATGTCTCTCCACCTCCTTTCCTTACTTCCTCCCCTCCATGTCTCT